GAGGAGATTTTATTTCAAATTTACAGATGGTAAACCAGGACTCAGAGGATGTGTTTACACAAGCCACTTTACTATGCAGTAGATTAGTTGTGCAGTAAAGTGTCACCATCTACCCATGCTCACATTTACTGTGCCATGAATTAGTCTACTGTGCAGTTAGCTACTACCTATAAATACAGGTAGTAAACTAACTGCGCAGTAGGTGCTGTGCACTAACACACTTGTAGACATTGGCCAGGAACAAACCTGATCCTGGTCAGCCTAACCAGCAGGAGGCCATAGGGTACAGGGAGCTCTCTGTCCCTGCTCCTGGCACTTCTCAGCTCCCAGGCTCCCCCCGGGAACTGAGAGTAGATCACCACCAGGACTGGGGAGTTCTCTGCCCCCCGTCCCAGCTCCTTGAGTGGAGCTGGTTGCTCCGGGGAGTGAGCAGGGGCTGGGAATCCAGCCCTTTCCTGTCCCCTGCAGCAGCCAGCTGTGCGCTGCATGAAGCTGGCTGCTCTGGGGACAAGCGAGGACTGAATTCTCAGCCCCTGCACACTCTTCAGAGCAGTTCACTCCACATGATGCCACTATGTCAAGATTAAGCATTAAAAATAATTATTTAATAATTAGATTGTGTGCTGTCCACATGGAGCTAGCTGCTGTGGCAGACAGGTGAGGGTTGGATTCCCAGTCCCCCCCCCCAACAGGTGGCTTCGTGCCAAGCAGGGCAGCTGCCAGTGAGCCCCATCCCCCTCTCTCCCCCTAACAGGAGGCTTGCCTGCAGCTGCCCCACACTCAGGAGAGCTCCCAGCAATCCCCTGCTTGGCAGACAAACCTGGCAGAGGGTTGTGGGCAGCTGTGTGTCCAGATGAGCATGGAGGCAGGAGAGCTCTGCCTGCTGCAGGGGCAGTTCTCTTATGGCCCCAAGCATATCAGGTTCCCTCCCAATGTGCATGGGGCCAGGAGACAGCTGCCGCTGCAGCCAGCAGAGTTCTCCTGGGTCTGTGCTCACTGCAACCACTCCATGCCACCCCCTGGGCTAGGACCGGTGGTGAGGGGGGGAGCCTGGAGCTCTCCCTGGCTGCTGCAGGGGGGCAGAACAGAGCAGAAGCAGTCCTGCACTGGGTTGCTCCCATTGGGAGTAAATCTGCTCCCAGGAGGGAGCACACGTAGACATGTTCCCAGGTAGGCTTACTGAGCAGTATTTATACTGTGCAGTAAACCTACTTTGAATTAATAGCACATGTAGATGCACCTAGAGAGTTTAAAGTAAAAAAAATACACTAGTTTGGATTGCCCAATTTGAGGACATCTACAACTTGGTTTTTCAAAGTTATTTGCATTAACCTTGATGTAATCAGCACTTTGGCAAATTAAACTACAGTATCTCAGGTCAGGCATCTAGAAAATGGAGACCACACAATCAGTGAATACCTTTTGAAAATTTTAAGTAGCATATTTAGCATCACAAAGAAACTTTGTGGAACAGTCAGGGATAGAATCCAGTTTCCTGCAGCACTCTGCTGCATTGACCATGACACTACCCTTTCTCTTCCTGCACATTGACAGGGGCAGGGGTTTTAAGGAAAAATAACATGTAATTGTGTTCAGGCTATATCATAATGCACATGCACAAGGCAGACAGAATTAAGGCAGCAAAAACAACTTTACTTCTGGCATTTCCTAACTTTACTTTGTAACCTTCTGTTTTTAAACATATTTTTAACTGTGGAAAAAAACAAAATTTATCATGTGACATTATATTGACACCAACAAGGGTCATCAACAAGGCTGTAACTGTTAAAGGTACCACACAGATTTCTCTCACTTGATCTATTAGAGCAAGTGCTAATAGTACAATATTGTTATGCTCTATGTGCACTACATGGAGTTGGGGGCACGTTGTCAGCAGCTTTCAGATAATTGCTAAGAGAAGAAAAATACTGAGCTTCTGGAACTTTTGGCTTCATTTGAGGTGCTGGAAGTAAGCATGTTGCAGTGGGCTTTCTTCCATCTTTCCAGGTGTGACCTTTCTGCCACTCCCACGTGCTCCACTCTTCCCTCTTCTTCACCCTCTTCACTCTCATCATTGCCAGTTGCTTTCAGTTCTCTGGCTTCTTGTCTCCAGTTTCCTTTTCCAGCCAGGCTTTACTTTTAATCTGTTTTGCTCCCTACCCTATGTGTCTTCCAGTTGTCAACTGCCACCCCACCTTGTTTCCAGTCCCAGACCCTCTTCCTGATTCTTTGTCCAAAATTGTTTCGCAATCAAGCTCCTGGTCTCTGTCCCTTTTCCCAGCTCATTCCACTTCTCCTTTGTCATTCTTATTTCTCATCAGATATCTTCTCTATTTCTCTGCCCCACTGGTCTCTAGTCCTAGTCTCTTTGTCCTGCCAGACCCTGCCTGTCTCAATGTCCATGCTGCCTGATAATCTCTTTCTTTCATGGTCTCCCAGTATCACTCTGTTTGCCCAGCCTCACCCTCTTTCAGCCCCACCAGCCTCCAGTTTAATTCACTCCTATATCTACAGCTGGTTATTTGTCCCAGTCCACTGTTATAGTCCCCGTTCTTCCTTTTGCACTCAGGCCAGCTATTTTCTTTCTTCACAGTGCTTGAACCAAGCAAAAAGGGGGCTGAACATTGAGAAAAAAAGGAGAGACAGGCTCCCAGCTCACAGTTCCAGTGCTGGGATTGGTCCACAGAAACACAGGCTTGAAATATCAAGGAATATCCTATTTAGCCTGGGGCTAGAGCATGCCCAGTGTATACAGAACTTTCAGAACTGTTAGAAGAGAAGTTCTAAGAATACTTTTCTGAGCATTTGAAAACCAAAACCTTTTCAGGGGTTTATAGCTTGCCCAAATTTGGGCAGGTTTTCAGGGGAAGAGTAGAAAGTACATATCAGGAACAAGTTTCAAGTCCCTGCTCCAAAATGTGGGCATACTAAAGTAACTCATAGAAAAAGTTGCCTGATTTTTAACATGGTCAAAATATCGTATGTCTCCTTTGCCTCATTCTCAGAAATAAGTGCACCATTTTGAGTGAAATTTCCTGAAAATATTTCAGCATGATTCAGATACATGGCACAGAATTTTTTAGGCAAAATAGGTAAAATATTGCAAATTTATAATCAACTGAAAACAACCTTAAAATGGAAAGTTTTAGGAACCCTCAGTGCTAATACTGTATTGTTATACCAGCCCTGCCTAAGATCTGTATGTATGCACAATGCATGTATATGTAAATATATGTTAACTTTAGAGAGAGAGAGAGAGAGAGAGAGAGAGAGAGTGTATATATATACACATATATATACACATATATATATATAAACTATTCTGATGTTCTTTTCATGTATATATAATATATATATATATCTGGTTATATCCTATATATCTATATATGTTTATCTCTCTCTCTCTCTATACACACACACACATTACTATGATATCAAATAGAGGGTCATGCTGGAAGTATGAAAAGAGCACCACAATAGTTTCAGCAATAGTTGGAATAAGTATTTTGTCTCAAAATATTGCATCAGGCTGGTTAATATTGACACTGTTGTAGACACAACTGTTGTAGACACAACTGTTGTAGACACAAATGATTCTGGATGTGCTTTCTCAGAAACCAGTAAAGCACTATTTGGATGGTGAGAGAAAAGCACTTTTTCCTACAGAGCCTTGTGCATTTAGTGTTAGGGAACTTCTTGGATTATACCCGCTTGTAGCTCTAGTCCGTGATCATTTTGCACTCTGTTTAGCCTTTGGTGGTGAGAGCATCATAGTTACCAGTACAATACCTTCCATGTAGGAGGGTGATTTTGGAACTGTCCCTACCCACAGAGCTCTGTATCTGGGAATGGTGTAGTAAAGCAGGACCTTTACCCATTGCTTGGGTAATTGGGAGTACCCAAAGCTTCTTTATGGGAAGGGGCAGCTAAAGATGGGCACTAAGGACCTCATCTGTTTAGCCTATGCAGACTTTGAGCTGGAATCAATAGCAGTAGCACCTTTCAAATCAAGGCATTTACCACAGTTGGAACATACCTATGACTGAGTGGGTATGCAGTGGTAGGTCTGAATACTATCTTCCCTGGGTCTCACGAATTCAGGGAATAACAGTCACCTCACCTAAAAGCAATTTTCTCACTTCTGTCTAGAGTGGATTTCCTTTTAGAAATTGGCTGTTTTTTCAGCTTACAAGTAATGACGTCATAGTAATGACATCACACAATCTTATTATTAAATAATTATTTTTAATGATTAATCTTAACATAGTGGCACTATTTGTTCCATAGTGCTATACTCTAATGTAAAGACCTCTATTTGAACACTATATAATTGAAAGCATCATGCTTTAGCTGGAATGTATAAATAGCAACATGTTATAAACTTCTGTAGGGATAACTGGAGTATCCCTATAGTTAAGGGTGCTGTATCAGCTAATCTGATTCTGAAATTCATTAATTCTAAAAGAATGTATATAGATGAGTAACATAACTTGTTCCTCTTTGATTTATTATAATTCGTGTAAGGTTGTGTTAGGTGAAAATGCCACTTGGTTGGGGAAGGCTTTTCTGAATCTGACATACGCCTCCATGGCTCTTCTGAATGTCTTGTGAGCAGACTGATAATGTTCACAGTCCTGTTCATTTATTGTTAACAGAATTCCTAAAATTGGTAGAATGTTTAACGAACACATATGAATACTATACAGTAGTAGACATGACTACAAAAGGAACATTCTCCTGAGCAATTCACCATTTGGAAGGCAAAGAAAGTGAAATAATATATTTAGATTTTTAGTGCAATTACTTTTGATGCACACTGAAGTTATTACAGTATATCCTTTCATTTTCTGCCTCATTTTAATTTATAAAATAGAGCAGCATAGATGATCTTTATTATATTAATCCATAAAATCATCAACTTTCAGTAAAATTGATCTTTAGGAATAATGTGTTACATAGTTGAAGAAATTAGTTGACTAATGAATATTCTCTCTTTTCAGATAAAGCTGTGGTACGACAAGGTTGGTCACCAGTTGATAGTCACAATATTGGGAGCAAAGGATCTTCCTTCAAGGGAAGATGGGAGGCCAAGGAATCCTTATGTTAAAATTTACTTTCTTCCAGACAGAAGGTAGGGTCAAGGGACTTTTGAGTTAGAATGAATTTAGCTAATCAGAAGGCATTCAAGGTTGATAAAAGTTTGCTATCTGCTATTTGTTATGCATACCTTCTTGATTAGTTTTAAAGATTGGCATTTCATAATTAAACATGTTATGTAACAAAAAGGAATGTTTTACATAGACATTTCTTTACACACTTTCTGTAAATGTATTTGGATGACAGAGAAAAGGTAGTTTTACCTGAATTGCATGAGGACCTTTTATTTGTAAAGATTGTTATTGTTATGAACAGGCTATTTCTGTGGAGTGGACAGCAAATTTCATGGGTTTATGCTCATGAAATTCCTGACTGAACATTTCTTCAGAGTCCCTGGGTTCTCCTACTCCTGTACAAAAAACAGATTGAAGCCCCTGTCATGCAGTCAGATCCCTGCACAAAGTCCCTACACCATAAGCTAGAATGTTATGAAATTAGATAAATAGCACTTTATTAATAAAAGAAAATAATATAGAATGTCTATGAATTGAAAAAGTTAAATATTTTATTTTATATTGTTTTAAAATAAAAATTCAAGTCATCCTTTTTCCTTTTATGCAAAGAATATAGAATTTTCCCCTTAATTATTCCTCACATTTCCTTTCATACACATAAAAACCCTAGCAGCTTATGTTATTGAGTTAGTTTTCTTCTGACAGCTAAAGTGCTTTTTCTTTTATCAGAAGCAAAAGCCTAGTGGAGAAAAATAAATCTCTTGTATAAGAAAAAGTAATATGCTAGAAGTAAAGTACAATTAAATAACTGAAGCATTTAATTAGGTGAGAAAAGGATGCTTACTGACTAAATAAATTTCACTGGAAAAAACTTGTCCAATTTAACTTGTTTTAGTTCTCTAGGCCACAGAAATCCTTAGTGTTAAAATAAATATTTAAGTTATTTGTTTTAATAATCCAGCACATAAATTGTATTTATGAATGAATGAATGCTTGAATGAATGATTGAATGAATAAGTAGAATCTGGATAAAATGCAACTTTCTAGTTAAAATGTTCCTTCAACTTGTAGCTAGCAGAAGCCCACAAATACTTCAATTGTTATCAATATAGGTAGTATGTTAAAGTTAAGAGCATTTACAAATATGCCAGCATCTCATTATACTACTTTTAAACTATGAATCAGTACAGCAGTACACAATGCAAAACCTTTAAATTTAAGAAGTTTGACAGTTCACGACACACTCATTATCGTGTGCAGAACTGGTTGTAAAGTCTCTGCTGGAATGTGATATTGTCAGAAAAAGCTGATTCACCTAGACAGACGTGTTTCATAGAAACAATGAGTTCAACAAACTTTTCTCAAGTCATAGGCAAGCTTCCCATGGAACCAGCTCACCTGGAGGCTTGCACAGGCTCCTGGGCTTCAGGATGTAGGGCAGCATGGCAGCCCTGTGTGCACCCTGTGCAGAGGCTGTGGACTCTAAATTTCAGGGTCCATTGTCCTGTGGCACTGCTGCTCATTGGCTGCATTTACACAAGATGCTGACTGCACAGTTATTACTGTGCAGTCAATTAAGTATTTCCATACACAAGTACTAAGTTACTTCACAGTAACCAGAGTTACTGCACAGTAGCGTCCCTGAATTACTTGTTCGTGATGCTGACTGCATAGTAGCCTGTTACTACTGTGCAGTAGCAGCACATCATGCTTCCTGCCATGTGATGCTACTGCACAGTAATAATGAGCTACTACGCAGTCAGCATCTTGTGTAGATGTGGCCACTGTCCACCTGGGAACCTCAGTAATTTGGGAACGCCACCTCTAACTGGGGCTTTCAAGGCTTCCAGACTCCTTGTCATTCCCTGAAATTCCTGAGACTGGCTTCCAGGGTATGCATCTGTGGGGCAGCCTAATCATGCAGACTGTTCCAGGGGAGTTCTAACATGTGGGCTGCAATGAGGCTTTAGATTCCAGGATTTCTGGATTACTGGTCCTCTGGCTTGCCAGGCTGGCTAACTTCATAGCATGGGGAGCAGGCACCCTGAGATTTGGACAGCTTGGGGAGCCTGGTGATTGAGGAGTCTGGAAACAAGGCTTTCTGGGAACTGCAGGTAATGCAAGTCATGGCTGAAATTGAGTGAAATTAACAAGACTGATGGGGTCCTAGGGAGCACTTTGAATATGCCATGACTGATGTTTTCAGAACAAACTTAATCAACATTTATATTTTGCTGGAAATTTCTAAATATTTGCTTTTAGCCTGAATTGGAACAGAACCAAATTTCAAAATGCCAGCATTTTTTATGAAATAAAAATTCAGAGATTTGATGAGCTCTAGTCATGGCTGACAAAACAGTGACTTACCCCCGTACAAATCCTACAGTTTTAGTTTAGCATAATTGCCTCACTGGGTTTTTGGGGATGGGGGGGGTAAGGGGGTGGAGGGTTTTTGTCAGTATTTCAAATTAGTCCTAGTATAAGAGATCCAACCTGCTATAAAACACTTAGAACAATGTAAGGGCTTTTGCAAGTCTTTAATTTTAATTGTCCTTTGCAGTGATAAAAACAAAAGAAGAACAAAAACAGTAAAGAAAACTTTGGAACCCAAATGGAATCAAACATTCATTTATTCTCCAGTTCATCGGAGAGAATTTCGAGAACGAATGTTGGAGATTACACTTTGGGACCAAGCCCGAGTTCGGGAGGAAGAAAGTGAATTTTTAGGAGAGGTATTTGAAACTGTTTTGACTCTTCATAATCAGTGAGCAAAATGCCAGTAGCACATGGATGGATGGTGATTTGTCTGGCTCTTCTGAATAAAATCATAGAATCATAGAAAGTTAGGTTTGGAAGGGACCTCAGGAGGTCATCTAGTCCAATCTCCTGCTCAAAGCTGAACCATCTCCAACTAGACCATCCCAGCCAAAGCTTTGTCTAGTCAGGTCTTGAAAACCTCCAAGGATGAGTCCACCACTTTTCTGGGTAACCTGTTCTGGTGTTTTACTACCCTCCTAGTGAGAAAATTCTTCCTAATATCTAATCTAAACTTCCCTTGCTGAAAATTGAGACCACTGTGCCTTGTTCTGTCATCTGCCACCACTGAGAACAGTCTTCAACCCCCCTTCAGGAAGTTGAAGGCTGCTATTAAGTCCCCTCTCAGTCTCTTCTTTTCTAGACTAAATAAGCCCAATTCCCTCAGTCTTTCTTCATAAGTCATGTCCCCCAGCTCCCTCACTATTTTGTTACCCTCCTCTGAATGCTCTCCACATCCTTTTTTGTAGTTGCAGGGCCCAAAACTGAACACAGTACTCCAGATATGGCCTCACCAGTGCTGAATAGAGGGGAAGAATCACTTCCCCTGACCTACTGGAAACATACCTACCAATGCAGCCCAGGATGCTGTTAGCTTTCTTGGCAACAAAGGCACACTGCTGGCTCATATTCAGCTTTTGTCCAGTGTAACCCGCAGGTCCTTTTCTCAAATTTGATTTAAAAAATGAAAACATTAAAAGCTGACATATATATATTTAGTTTATTGTGTAATGGTAACTCTAACAAACTGACATTTACCATGTGATGCTGATACCAGATTAACTCTGTAATTGTTCTGTCTTCAGAAATATTAGAATGCATATATCTTCAATAATTCATTTTCTTTGATGATTATTCTTAAGATTCTATATTTGTCCCTGGTACAATTTTATAGAAGAGAGTTGAGTAAGATTGCTATTTAATTGTTATTAAGATACTTAGCCATTGTTACGTGTCATTAAGGTGATCAGATTGGTGTTGATCTTGTGGCCTGTTATAAACTGGTTAGGGGGGATCAGCAGGCGCTGGGGGAGTCCCTGTTCCCCCGAGCGCCGCAAGGAGTGACCAGGAACAACGGTCACAAGCTGGCGGAGGGAAGGTTTAAGTTGGACATCAGGAGGCGCTACTTCACGGTCAGGGCGGCTAGAGTCTGGAACCAGCTTCCAAGTGAGGTGGTGCAGGCTCCCACCCTAGGGGTTTTTAAGAGGAGGTTGGATGACCACCTTACTGGGGTCGTTTGACCCCAGTACTCTTTCCTGCCATGGCAGGGGGTCGGACTAGATGATCTGCTCAGGTCCCTTCCGACCCTAGAAACTATGAAACTATAAAACTATGAGAGGCAATCTAAAAATGATGAAAGTCTCCAAAGTATAACTTAGGCCTTTTAAGTTCACCAGAACAATTCAGCACCTAAAGTTATGTAACTGCATATGCCCAGAACTGCTGCCACCTTAGGTGACTTAAGTGACTACCCTGAGGGATCTGATTTGGTAAGCATCTTCTAAGTACATCTAACATTTTGCAAGAGCATTAAGCTCAGTATAGAGCATAAGAGCCACAGCGACTTCCATTAAAAATGTAGGAGAAGGATGAAGAGGATGACAAAGAAAGGAGCTGGTAGTGATGTGACTACTGTTTTTTTACATAACAATCTAGTGGTTAGGGGATAACCCAAGCCTAATGCCTAAACAGTTCCGGACACAGCGACCAAACCCAGAATTCCATCCACTCCCAAGCTGAGTGTCCTCATCACTGAGCTACAGAGTTATACTGCTTACTTGCTCACCCCATGTCTTCTGCATTCCTTTCTAAGAAGTGACCAACTTCAGCCTAAGGAGTGGAGAGTGCCCTACCCCAGCTGAGGGCTCTCTCTTGGGAGGTGAGAGGTGTATATTTGAAACTCTTTAGACTGAAGAGGGTCTAGAGCCAGTCTCCCAACTCCTGGGTGGGAGCTCTAAATCATTAAACTGTTACATAGACAAGGGACACTGGCATCATCTCCACCTCTACCTCCATCTGTGTCTCATGGAGAAGAGTAAGCCAATCCCCTGTACTCAAAGGGACAACCCAGGTGCCTTAGAGGGGTATTTGACTATGAATCCCAGTTTCACATAAGTTCCTAAACAGGTAGTCACCAAAATCCAGGAGGACTTCAGACACATCCATCTCTTCAGCATTTCCTATTGGCTAGTTCCTTTTCTTAATCCTCTTCCTAGTCACTTGACTCTCCTCATTTCCTACATAGGAAACGTAGGTCCATAATACAGGTTTGTGATTTCCACTCCTGGAGCTGGTTGCCCAAGTGCTTTGTTGGATCTCACCCTAAGTAGTTTTAGCTGATTCAGAGTCACGGTTTGATGGAAGTGGTTTGTGCCCATAAGAGGTATGGTTGAGTGGCTGTGTCTACATGAGACTCTGACTGCACAGTCATTACTGCGTAGTCATTTAGTATTTGTATAAACAAGTTACTGCACAGTAACACTGACGAACGCCTTTTTCATGATGCTACTACTCAGTAGCCTAATACTACTGAGCGGTAATTCTGTGTCATGGTTGTTGCCATGCAACACTACTACACAGTAGTATTGGGCAACTGCATAGTCAGTGTCTCATGTAGACGTGGCCGGTAAGTACATAATTTTTGTTTTATTTCCAAAATCTGTATTTTCACAGTAAGATAATGAATAGAATAACATATGGAAATGACTATTTTAAAATACACTTCTACTGTATAATGCTTTTGCATGTTCCTTTGTAGATTCTTATTGAGTTAGAGACAGCATTGCTAGATGATGAACCTCACTGGTACAAACTTCAGACGCATGATGTCTCTTCATTGCCACTTCCACACCCCTCACCATATTTGCCACGCAGACAGCTACATGGGGAGAGCCCCACACGGAGGCTACAAAGTAAGTTGATAATTTTACAAATATTGCATATATTTGATCTGAATTCCTGTGTACTTCATACTACTTCTAGGCCAAAGATTTGTAAGAGCAGTAGCTGACATTGTATGTGTCTGTTTTCTGTTCTTATGAAGCAAATCTTTTGTGATTACCTCTGAGATTCTGATGTGCTCAAAATACTAACAGTGAAAATAAAAAGTATTATCATATTTGCTTCTGTATTAAAATGTATTAAAATAAACATTCCAACATGGAATTTAGTCAGTGGGCAATGGTATAAGTTTGTGCCAGCTTACAACGTGGTCCCTCTTTTATGTTTGTTATTTGATTGTACAATCCAGAGAGAAGGTAGTTACTTCAGCCTATTTTTTTAAAGGAAAACTATTGACTAATAATTAATTTAATACAGTGGCTTGTTACTGTCTTTTGATGCTGCTATAACAGAGAGACAGATTCTTGCCATAATAGAAAGAAAGACAGATTTACATTTGCTTAAATTTGGGAGAAGTCAGCATTGTCAAACAATGTGCCAGGGCAACATGAACATTTTGTAAACAGAAGTTAGATTTGTAGTAATATTTTGCACCTTTCAGTGTACGTGATTCATGGTAGACTGGAGTAAGTAATAGAAATATTTAAATGGAATATTCATTGTGTTGGTAGAATTGGATGTTTAAGACAGAATATGTGATAGTTATAAATTAATCATATTTTACCATCACTTTCTTTGTTTCTACTGCTTAAATTACCCACTAACATTAGGAATTCAAAGCTGTGCTACATTGATGTAGCCTTAAAAATGTCTATAGGCATTGTGAAAATCCTTTATAATTCCTACATATTATTTTATGAAAGATTAGAAATCAATTTCTAAGATTTTTTGCATTCCTTTCTCTATCTCACTGAATGAGCATTTGGCATAATACAAATAATTATATTATATATAATAAATGGACTATATGTCTATGTGTGCATGTGCATAGATGCACACAAATGAACAAAATAGGCAGAGAATTCTTTAAAATGTTGGGGCATGGGGGATCAGTTAACTTCTAGTTATTATAAATTCTACATGGGTTCTCTAATAATAAATTTACACAGGTAAGTGTTTGTAATAGTTGTCTGCTTTTGGGTTACTGCACTTAAATGTGAGAGGAAGTAGAATGCTCCATATCATAATATTTTGAAATTAATTAAATGAGTCATGTTTATGATTTATAACCTTGTAGCAGTGCTTTATCAATACTTCTTTCTTTCTAAAAGAGTTTTCTTTGTAAAAGATGAGGGTCTCTCTTTCAATCCAGCATTTTTCAATGCCCTGGATCCTGTTTGGGATAAATTCTTATGGTATTTAAGTTCTTTCCTTCTTTGCTTTATGCTATTAACTTTTGTGAAATGTTTTAATAAAATAATCATGGATAGTGTGGTAGAGCAGCTTTACTTTTTAGGGTCCATTTGTTTTCAGCATTAGTTAATTATTTCCAGTTTTCACAAAATAATAAATCCCTACAAGGAACCCCACTGGCTTTTAGTATTTCCCATCTGTTCAATCAAGTGTTGGCCATCAGTGACGAATAGAACAACTGGTTGCTTTGTTTTTTGGAAGATTATAGTGATGCTAGATTCAGGATTTATTCAGAGATTTTGCCTCAAATGTTGAGACCCCAAAGGAATAGCTTGCCTTTTCCTGCACTCATTTGAACAGTCTTGTAACTTTGGAAACAGTCATGGAAGGTCTTATCAAACACTGTACACTTAAATATTTGCTCTGCTGAGATGTCTGGACTTTGTGCAAAAATTAAACTTATTCTGATTAGCCCCAAAGCAGTACATAAACATTGTAAAGGTATGTACAGATGTTGCATTTTAAAGGTATGTACAGATGTACAAATGTTAAAGTACATCCTTTGAAGCCCTTCAAAGGGAGAGCTATACAGATGTACATACTCTTTGAAGCACTGCAAAAAATGGCTGCAGTGCTCCAAAATATTACTTGTTAGAATGTGATACTATTTCAAAGTGCTTTGTTTCTTTATATGTCTGTATGCTTACAGGAGATTCCTGAGTCCTCCAGAATCCCACAGTGCCCTTCTGCCACTCCTCCCCAAACTGTCAGTGGGATCTCTCCTACTGCTTCACCTCTGTCCTCCCAGAAGCCTCCTGGTCCCTCTTTCTTTCCTTCCCTTGTTGCCAGAATTGGTGACCCCCTGCACTCCTCCCCCCTGACACTGGGAGATCGCCTGTGCCTCCTCCCACTGAAGCCAGGATTGTGGCTCTCTAGCTCCCCGCCCCTGCCTGCCTGTCGGCTTCTGGTCTCTTGGTTCTGGCAGGGTGGCACAGGGTGTCCAGTCTCCTGGTTCCAGCAGGAGAGCAGAGGCAGAAGGTCAGGAAAACACTCACTGCCATGGGCTCTGTTCACCACACTGCATCCCCATGGTAGTAGAGAAGTGCAGCCCCAGGAGAAAGGGCTGCAGAGCAGCACTGGCAATTCCCTCCACTCCCCCTACTCTATGGGGGAAGGTGAGAGCAGAGGCACAAGTCACTGCAATCCCGTTTCTCCCCTAGCCAGAGAGCATGCTGCCATATGCAACTGCAGTTATTTTGAAGTGCTTCAGGCAGGGGGCGCAACAAGGACTGTCTGTCTCTCTATTGCCTGAAATGGAACATTTTAAAAATGTTTCCAAACCTGTTACCCTTAGAAATATCCAAAATGTTATGTCTGTGCACATACAAAATGTTCCGGAAGCTCTGAAACACCAAAGACAAGAAGAAGTTTTCTGTGTTCCTGGTAAATGGTGGAACTCTCTCAGTTTTCCCTCTGGTATAATGATTTGCACAGTTTTGGAATGATACACTCCCAAACTTAGCTGAGGAGCCCACTCAGAAGTATTTCGCACCCAAACATAATCCCTCCCATAGCCCACAACTTCACCTCAGGGTTGTAGGACTGTGCATATTTCACATAAATTTTCAAGTTATGTAAGTTCTTCCCAATTTAAATAGGAAAAGATTTTGAAAGACAGTATATTTTGAAAATGATACCCTAGATTTGGTTCTGGGAAAACCTTCAAACTGATTTTTAGTAGCTACTGTAGTACTAAAGCTAGATAGGTAAGAAACTCCATTGATCAGTAACAAATCTTACGACTAATACACGAATAAGCAGTTTGATAAAAAGCTTCCTTGAACTGTAAAATTCTTGTGTTATATTCATTTGCCATAGCCCTGAATCGAAAGTTACAAGTATCTTGTGGAGGAATGTGAGTGGCCATAGCAGCAATGAGGAGACAGAATGCACAAATCTGTATAGAATACTAACAGCATTACACAGGTGAAGATAAATTTGGTGTATGTCTTTTTTGTTGGAGATTTCAACAGAAGATTAAATTAAACAAAAACAAATATCACTATCTCTTGTTCTTTATGAAGGTCCTTCATTAGATGCATCCATCATTAAAAAGTCTTCTAGGTAACTGAATATTAATATAGATCTCAGATTATAACACTTTATCATGAGCAAACAAATACTTGTAAGATTACATTTTTTACTTTGAAGATATTATTGCTGTTGTCAGTTAATTCATATTATATAGAAGTTGAGTTCCAATTTTTTTGAAGTCTGAGTGGATAGATCATTTAAAGGTCCCCTGGTTTTATTTTGGAGTAAACCCTTAGAAAGTAGGTCTATCTTGTTTCTTTCCTGTGGTCGCAATATATGCAATAGGATATGTATAGTAGTGTGCAATAAGAAGTGCCTAACTTCCTGCATATAAAAATAGCTACTATGAAAAATAAATTGTTTCTTGTTTTAAAGATATAGGCATATTCATTTTTTTGAACAATCTTTATTTTTCAAAGGAAAAGATATTATGAAATATAAGGCTGTTTGTTTTTTCCATAAACAGACAAATCTGGGCTTTATTGTCTCCAGGAGTGTAGGTCTACCTATAAATAAGTACCATAAAAGAACAATAAAACCCCCTTTAATTTTTGTTCTCTGAAGACAGTATAATAGGACTGCCTACACTTACTGCTTGCCTTTCTTGATGGAACTGGAGATGTTTAATTTGACTTAAGGTACTTTCTAGTCTCTTTTTCACTTCAGTGAATTTTAGTGCTCATGAAAAGTGCCAGAATGACAGCCCTGAAGAATGCAATCCTGTATTTATGGACAGCCAATGGTGTGTAATGCAAGCTTCCCACAGTGTCCCATATGCTGTTTTTCAGAGACCAATTCTAATAGAGAGACCTTCCACATCAAATTTCCCCTCCTCAGTGTGAAAAAACATGTTATATTGTAGATACATCCACTAGAAATTGGTCTAAACCTTTAGTCTGTTTTCATTCATGTCATTGAATGCAAAATAGATGGTGACCAGATGGAGTTGTCTTCTAATTGTGCTGAATTTAAACTGGTGCAGAACCCCAGGAATATTAATTAACCTCCTTTAAAAAAAACAACAAAAACCCTATTACTTCAGTAACCACCTGAACCTCTCCACCCCCTCTCATCAGTCCTCTCTGCTGGTTCAGTGAAACAAGTGTGTCTAGTGCTTTTCACTTCTTCTCCACCTCCTCTTCTCCAATCTCTTCCTTGTCCTGATCAATGTAGTATTTTAGTTCATGCATTCCTCAGCTTCAGGCATTCTTTCAGTGAAAGCCAACCTCTTAAAAACCCAGAGGCTTCTTACTTTCCATATACTGGTTGTAACACTTGCTAACACTACTCTTAATATTGTTTCCTCAGGTCCCTTTGGTATGAGCCCATACAACACCATCTCTTGTGTTAAGGACTGACTTATTTTTGTAACACTTTCAACAAATGATGTACACTTTCCCACACAACCTTTGCATATGTATACTCCCAAAACATGTGCCACCATTTCTTCATCTCTGCACCTTTCCCTTGGACACTTTACTGTTCTTGCTAAGTTCCATTTATGTTGTATCTCCCTCACCAACAAGATATTTTGTTATGATCAGCCACACTAGATCAGCATGTT